TATGTTGTACTGTATTTATATTCATTTTTGTTAACATTTCCAAATTACATTTTAATCTGATTCAGGCTGCACTCAGGAGTTTTGCTGTGGGCCACAAGTTTGACACCTCTGGTTTAGAATGATCACTGAGAGGGATATAAATTACTACATTTGAAATGCTAAGGCAAGCTATTTACTTAACTATATTTTCTATTTTTTTCTACTTCAGCAAAATGGTGAGACCAACTTCTAGAATACTGAAACATTCCCATATTTCAAGTTTTTGTCTAGGGGAAAAAAAATACCACATGACTTGCAAATCATGTCAATGATGTTTTCCCCCTTGTCTATCCAGACCTGTGATTTCAATGGCAAAGAAAATCTCCATTTAAAAAAAAAACTTTATATAACATCTGCATGGTGTTCAGTTGTGTTTGACTCTCCACGACCCCATTTGGGATTTTCTTGGCAAAGATACTGGAGTGGTTTGCCATTTCTTTCTCCAGCTTATTTTACAGATGGAGAAGCTGAGGCAAACAGGGTTAAGGGACCCAGGGTCACACAGCTAGGAAGTGTCTGAGGCCAGATTTGAACTCAAGAAGATGAAACTTCTGGACTTCAGGCTGCCACCTAGCTGCCCCTGCAGCTGTTCTTCAATTTAGAGTCTCAGGGCTGGAATACTGCCTGAGGTCACTGAGAAGTTAAGTGACTTGCCCAAGTAGGTGCAAGTAGGTGGAACTTAAACCCATGTCTTCCTGATGCTGAGGCCAGCTCTCTATACCCTATATCCTGTGATCTCTCCTCGATGAAATATTTCTAAATGCTACTAGGGTAATAATCTTCATATGTAGAGATCCGTCTGAGGATGTTAAGGTTACTTCATTGAGAAAGACTAGGATGAAGAACGTTCTTTCCACCATGTTTGATTTAGAAATTCTATTGCTTATGTAATATTATTATTATCACAAAAATGTGGCCACCCTCAAGCAACCAAATTTTGCAATTATATACCAAAATTCTTAATAGTCTCATTTTTAGATAAGATGATACCTGAAAATTAGGAAACAAATGAACCAATTCTTATAAGTGCTATTGATTCTCCTGGAACAACACTGGTAGCAAATGAAGATAAACCGCTGTCAGAGAGTTTTTACATTACTAAGATTATCCTACTGCTTACCCAGCAGACACTCTTCGAATACGTCTCTTTAGGAGTCAGGTAATGGAATCTATGCAAGGAATAAATCAATGAGGCACTGTATCTTGTAGTACTTACATGTGAATAGACATGTCTGGGGGGAAAAGGATCATAAACTCTATGATAACTCTTCAGTGTGTTCTTTACAGAAGCATTGGAACAGAAGAACACAGATTTATTGTGGAGAATATGTATTGTCAAGCATCAAGGAACACCAACTGTATGTTTCCATTGGAGAAGTGGTCTGGGCCAAATCTTGTTGCCCATGTGAAGCTTGACTCACTATTTGCTTGAGATTTTTCTGTGATATCAATAATATAGTTAAGCAGCCTAGGGATAGAATTTCTCTCTCTTCTTGGCTACTCATCCCTACACTGTCACCAAAATGCACTTAAATATGTGCTTGTCTTCCCCCTCTCCCAAAGTCCTTGAGTTTTGATTTGATTTTTTTTTTAGCTATAAAGGCAAGAAGTCAAATATGCAATTTTTATGATCTTTCTGAAAGGAAAGAGAACCATCTTGTGCAGAATCCTTGGAACTTTATTTAAAGATCATTTAGAATGGCCAAATCCATGATGGATTCTAAGCTTTCTAGTCTATACTACAATCCTCCACATTGTTTAGGAGGAAGGCTCCAGGTCACATGTAGCATAGCTGACACCTTAATGGAGAGAGATAAGATCTTCACCTTTTCTATCTTAAGTATCAAATTCAAACTGCTGTCCGGCATTCCAAGAAATATTTTCTGGTACCTGGCTCTTTTAACAATCCCAAGTTATTATGTTAATAACAATCACTGTTCACTTTTCCCTAAAATACAGTTACACATATAATACATGTACATGGTTGATTACAATTGAATGCTCTTCACTATATCACTCCAAAATGGTCATTTTGTTGCATGAAGTTCCACAGACCATAGAGAGTGGTCAAATATTTACTTTGTGGACTGATAGGGCACATACAGGACAGTAGTATTACCAGGAAGAGGTCCTATATCACATGATACATTAGACCAGGAGTTTTTAACTTTTTTTGTTTTGGTGTCATGTATCCATTCCTAGAATAATGTCCTTAAACACACAAAATAAAATACATAGGCTTTCAAAAGGAACCAATCATATTGAAATAAAATTAACATATTTGTTAAAAAAAAAAGTTTCAAGGATCATAGGCTAAGAACTCCTAGGCTAGGGCCTAAACAATGAGCATAGGTAGCCTAAGTGATGATAAAGCAGAAAAAATTAACTGAGATATTTTAGAATATTAAGGACAAAGTTGAATGACTACTAACCTGGTAAACCTGATATTTAGCTGCCCTAATGGATATCAATTAGTAACACCAAGAATGACATCAGAAATTAGCATTGATGGAATACAATCAAATTTAAAGGCACAGTTCCCCCAAACTGATGCATGCAGGAGCCCCAGCAAAGAGACACTGAAATAGTTTGCCAAGGCAATTTCCAGGGAGAACCAAACATGATCTGTTTTAAATGAAACCCAGAAAGAATGGAAGTAGAGAATTACAGCAGTGATTTAATGGGGCACATACTGTTTCCTGGCTTGCCATGGTAGTGAATGTTTGTATATACTGTAAGTTCAAGCTAGTCTGCTTGTAAGAAAAGAAAGTGTCAAAGCTGAAGAAATGTCTTTTTATGCACTACCTTATTTCAGAGGATATAAGTGAAAAGATATAATCCAGGAAGAAAGCCATAAACAAAAATATTCTAAGGAGGCGGAGCAGAGTAAAAACCTGTGTTGAAAAGGTTACTGAGTAGAAGAATTTGTCACAATAAAAGAAAAGAATAAATTGTACTAATTAAGGTATATAATGGGAGTATTATAACATAACAGTTTTCTGTATAGTGGATGAAGCAATATCTTTTGAAGAAATAGCAACCCATGGACCAAGAAGCAAACGAAAATATTCACAGGCACAAGCAAGGATGAAGACTCCTGTTAAAACTAGAATCAAGGATATTCACACTGTTATTTGGTGATCCCTTGCTCAAGGATACAGGGATGGTTGTATATGGACCCAATGTGAAAAAGTTTTCTTTTTGGAGTATGTAATCAAATATGATAGAGCCCATGTCAAGATTCACCTAACCCAAAGACTATTATTCACTCCCGAGTAATATGGGAATGATACCGTGTGAAGAAGTTAGGAATATATGTCCAGTGCCTTTTTAGGTTCTGAGTAAGAAACTGAAAATTTAGGGGCACAGGGGATATTTTCTTCTTCCAGTTGAAATTTATATCTTTGAAAAGTGAAAAAGTGACAGTATTCAAGGATAGGATTTGAGGTATTGGAGTTTTGTTTCTTTGTGCCATACTTTATAATACCCAAACGGTGAACTCTTGACAAAAGATCAGATTCATCTTCTGTAGATCATTTAGGTAGAAATCAGCCTACTCATCATTCTAAGATTTTATAATAGTAAAAGGAGAGAATGATAAATATAATCATATGTGCACCTTAAACTTTCAGTAATTAATTTCAAAAAGTTCTCAGATATGGTAGATGTGATTCCATGGTGAGTTGTCCAGAGCCATTTGGAGATAGCCATCTTGTTGGAGGGTACTCCCCTCCTTGAGAGTAGTGGGGAGCTGTCTAGTAAGGCTAATATATAAAGAAAGCAGAAGGTAGGCCAATCTCTTATGTCTAGAAATAAAAGTAACTATGTTCCTAAAAAACTGAGAGTGTTACAAATTATATCAGGCTCTTGGTGAAAAGTCAGATTTCTTTCTTTCCCACTCTTCCCCTCCCCATTCCAACAGCATCTGATATTTTCTGCTTGACCTAGATTCTGTCTATTTACCTTTCCCTTTAATATTGTGGTTCTCTGGCATGAACTCATATTTCTAATTTGGACCTTACCCCCCTGGCTGATTGGGACAAGAGTTATTAAGAAGTGAAGGTCATATTTTTTTAAGGAGCATGAATAAAGCATTTTTTAAAAAGGAATAGAGAGGACCCTTGCACCAGTTCTGCAATTTGTGCCAGTTGTCTGAAATTTGAAAGCCTACTAATTAGATTAAATATAACTTAATGGAGAGGCAGTATGGCATAGATGATAGGAAGCTGGTCTCTGAGTCAAGTTGTGTTTGATGCGTATTGACTGTGAGACCCTGGATGAATCAGTTAGCCTTTTAGTTACCAGCAACACTTTAAGACTATAACTTATATGACAGGTGCCAAGCTACATTTAAAAGCTGAGCTTCCCCACAAGGCAACCCCTATACCAATGAAATTATGAATCCAGTCCAAAAAAAAAAAGGAAATGATTCAATATTACTATTAATTTTCTTCTCATAACTTGTTTTCATTGTTCACTTTCCTATAATGACCAAAAGTCTGGTTGATAGTTGAAAACAGCCACATTTTAAATCAACTTGTAAGTTAGTATGATTTGAAGCAATTTAAAAAAAATTCTTTAGACATTAGTTTTCTTGCCTACAAAAAGAAGACTGGAGTGGATGGGCTCTAAAGGTGATTTCTGCCCTAAAATTCTGTGATTCTATGATCATTAAGAATATGACATTAAATAATGTTAATATTCTCAGTTTAAAAACAGAATGTAAGGTTTTCCAATTCCATTGAACTATTTTTCTTTAGTCCAACCTAGTGATGGGAGTTTAGTCTATGGAATGAACACTTTACAAATACATAGTTAATTAACAAAACACATCTAAGTATGATTATTATTTCTAAATTTCTAAGCAGGACAGCTAATAATGTAACACCAAGGTAGTTGAATAAACTTAGTAATAAGTACCACATGAACTATTTAGGCTTTAATGGGATGTTTCTCCTCACCTTTTGTGCTGCAAGATGGAGTGCTGTTCTCTGGCTGTGATCAGCTTTATTAACATCTGCTCCTGCCTTCAGGAGGGCATCTGCACAATCGACACGGTCAGCCAACACACAGTACATGAGAGGGGTTCTCCCAAACTGATCTTCTTTGTCTTTCAGGCCACGGTTTCCTAAAAGGATGAGAAGTCACTTGTAATGAGTTGATTGTTCTCAAGAAAGCATATGACTTTTAAATACCTTTAACTTATCAAAGTTGTCATATTGGTCACACAACCAGCAAGACAATGAAATAAGTGCTTTGTGAAAATCTCTTCCACCCAGAACTCTCACAAGAAACTGTGTGCCAGATCTAGAGTAATTACAGCTGATTCCACAAGACAGTATAGAACACTGCCTTTCCCTCCCCAACCCAAGACAAAAATCTCGAAGTAACAATGGAGAATTGTAATTCTCAGAGCTGTCACTCATCATCCAATTCCAACTGATCATTTATGGTCATGGTAATAAGTGCAAAAAGTCTTGCAGTTCTGACTGAAAGTCTTTGGATTGGAGCAGGTGTTAGCAAGCAATAAGGCTAGTAGAAACCTAGGAAAATTTAAAAAAATAACTTCTGTTGAAATTGTGCAACCACGAATTTGTGGGTGTTACCTCCAGCTATGGTGGGTCTGTATTCTGGTGGAAAAATGATAATCTCCAGATTATGAACTGTACCATATGAGCTTTGCTTAAAAGTACCTTGGTGGATCTAATAAATGTAATTTATAATAATTTTGTAATATATTATAGACAACATATTTATAATTTATAAATTTAATTCATTAAAATTTAAGATTAAATTTAATAACTGAAACAAGTCTTTAACTTATGGGAGAGTAGAGAAGCAAGAATTCGTCTCTCCCTTACTCCACATAAATCATCTGTATTTTTACACATTACCAACAAAACTGAGCAGGAAGAGATAGAAAGAAAAGTTCTATTTAAAGTAATTATAGAATTTATAAAATACATGGGAGTATATCTACCTAGATACAGAGGAACTATATGAACAAATGAATATTACTGCAACTACAAGTAACAGTAACAAGTCTTTACAGTAACAAGGATAGCCTTAAATAATTGGGGATATATTAATTTCTCATGGGCAGGCTGAGATAATGTAATAAAAACAACAATGCTACTTTATTTATATTTTGTATAACTAGAAAAAATTAACAGTTTATCTGGAGAAGTAAATCTTCAAGAAAATAATGAAAACAATTGGGAAGGAAGGGGACATAGCAATAACAGATCTCAAAACAGACTATAAGACAGTAATCATCAAAATGATTTGGTGCCAATGAAAAAATGTCAGTCAGTGGAACGTAACACACAGAAGCAAATGAACACAGTAGCAATAAACCCAAAGAATACATTTACTGAGGTAAGAATTCATCATTTAATAAAAACTGGAAAAACTGGAAAGTTGTTTGGCAGAAATCGGGTATAGACCAACATCTAACACTATATAGTAAAATAAACTCCATATGGCTACATGACAGACATAGGTGATATCATAAAGCAAATCAGAGAACCAAAGAAGAAACACCTTTTAAGATCTAGAATGGGGAAGAGTTCATAAATAAACAAGAGACAGAGAGGATGACAGAAGACAACACGGACAATTTTCATTTCATAAATATTTTTGGTTTTCAATGAACAGGTGGACCAAAACCAAAATTTGAAGCAAAATAGGTAATTGGAAACAAACTCTGCAATAAGTTTCTGTGATAAAGATTTCTTAATCTATGTTAAAGAACTGATTCAAATTCATGAGGTTTAAAGCCATTTCCTTATAAATAAATGGTCAAAAGATATGAACAGTCATATTTCAAATGAAAAAAAATCTAAACTACCAACAATCACATAAAAAATACTCCAAATTATTAATAATTAGAGAAATAAAAATTAAAGCTACTCTGAGGCCCAGGTCATATCCATGAGGCTGGCAAAATGACAAAAAAATGCAAATGTTGTAGGGATTATGGAAAAATAGGCACATTACTTAACTACAGTGTTGGTGGAGTTGTGAATTGGTCTAGCCGTTCTAGAAAGCATTTTAAAATTATTTTCTTCAAATTACTCAGCTGTGTATACACTTTGACCACTATCAGTCCTATACTCCAAAAGAAATCAAAGAAAGAGGAACAGGGCTGATATACAGGTGTCCCAAAAGTTTTCATGCAGTTTCCAGTTATTCAAGCTTTTGCTAAGAAAACCCCAAATGGAGTCACAAAGAGACACAACTGAACAACTACTTCATACACACAGGTAGTATATATGTATGCACATATACTGAATAGCAAATATTAATTTGGTTTTGGAGATTTAAATGTTTTAACAGAGGTAATTAAAATTAACATATGTTGTCTGTACTTTTCATTTCTAATGGATTTATCACAAATTATTTTAGAGTTATTTAAATGCAATAAACATTAATAAGTGAAAAAAGAATTTATTAAGTGCTTACTTTGTTAAATGTGAGGGATAAAAACAGAAAAAGTGAGAATCCCTGCTTTCACGGAACTCACACTTTAGTTGGGGTGATAAGTAAAAATGTTAAATTTCTGGACAGATGGAAAAGTTCAGAAGTCATGAGGTTCATCAGCAAGGTGGATGGCAAGGCATAAGGCTACTGAGACTACAAGCAAATGAGAGACTGATCTACAGGGCAAAGAGGTAGATGGTCCTCCATCTCACCAAAACTTATTGACTTTCATCTCATTGAAGTTGTTTGAGCAATTCAGCATCTCAGATGGGTTCTGGGGTGGGCCAGGACAGGAAAAAGGAAGGGAAACAGTAAAAGGAGAAGGTAAGGAAAGGGAAAGGAGCCCCTGGTGGTATTATATACTATGTTCAAGGCACTAGGGATACAAAGACAAAATAAAAAAACAGTTCTCCTCTCAAGGAGTTTACATGCTACTTCCTATACAGACCACATCTCCCGCATTAGACTACATAAACTCCATAAGAGTAGGGATCATGTCTTAGACTTCGCATCTTTCCTAGCATTTGGTAAAATGCTCATGCAGTTGGTGCATAAGAAATGTTTCTATTCAATTGAACTTGGTTTTAAAAATCATTTAAAGCTTCTGGAAATTTGTTTGAAAATAGTGATTAAAATAACAACTTTAATGATTTCCACTGTTCTTTCAAAGGAAAAAACCCAAAATTTTATGCAGTGTATCAATCCATGAACTGGACTTTGATTAAATTTAGATTCTGCCTTAGACCCTCACTAGCTATATGAATCTGGCCAAGTCAACTTCTCTCAGCTTTAGTAGCTCCTATCTGTAAAATGGGAACAATAAACACTCCTATCTCATGTAGTTGTTATGAGGAACAAGTGAGATGATATATAACTAAAATAGGCTGTTGGGGAGGGATTGAACAATGGGGCCCCAGTCCTTTGAGCATGTGCAATTTGCTCTGGCTGGTACCGATGCATAAGGAGGCTTCATGTATTCCATATATACACTAGGGATCCTTATTCCAACTTCCACTTGTACTGACAGGTTGGATCTCCATATTACATCTGGCTACATCTTCCCCTTGAGAATCTAGGATGCCCTGAGGAGATAAATATCTGTGCCATTTCATGGCTTCAGAGTACGAGCAGATATTCTATGAATTGGTGGCAATTCAAGAAAGATTTTTTTGAATCTTCACAACTATTTTTGAGCACACATGGTCCATTCTTTCTTGTTTTCACATGAACTGAAAATCCTTCATAGTCAGTCAATATTAAGGAGAAAGGCTCTTTTTCCTGATGGCACTGGAGGAAGGACATGCTGTGAGCCTCTGGATGGAGAAAGCCTTTATCTCCTCATCTGGATCAATATGCAGATTTGAACACACAATATTTGTGGAGATGAGTTTGGTGGTAGCAGAGCCATCTCCACCGACACTGGCAAGTCAGCTCCCCAGGTTGTAGCTAGTCACAGATTTCCCTCATGGTTCTGGGGGTACTGAGGGGCAGCAGGGCTTTTAGAGAGGAGGGCAGGGCTGTCCACCATCCCTGGATGCAAGCAAAGGATTTAGGTAGTTTGGCACGAGGCAGAGCAAATTATTCCTGCTTGAAGGATGGGACCTTCATTAGTCAGTCCCTGGCCTAACACATAAATCAGTTTGTCAGCCTTAAAGCAGTATATAGATGATTGCTGCTGTTGCTGCGGCTACTACTACTGTTAATATTATTATCAATGAGTACAGACATGAAAAAGCATCTGATCAATTGAGGCTAGGTCCCCAGTTGCCACCTGCAAGCAATCCACAGAGACAAAGATAAACAGGATGCCAACTTGCTCTTTTAGTAAAGAGTCAACAGTAACAGGAAGACGGGCAAAAGGCAGGGCACAAAGCTCTCCAATCCCCAAGATCTGGCAAACTTTCTACCTGGAGTGCACCACCATTCTCACTGCTAACTTGATGCAGTGAACAAAACAAGCAGCTAGATTATCAAATCACCACCAATAAGCTTTAGTGCTCTTTCTTTTGATAGACATCACTTCTTCTGAAGGAGTCACCAGTCACCATCTTTTTTCAGTTCTATAATTCCTGCTACTTCTCTTTCTTACTCACATTCCTCTCCACCCAGGCACACTGCCAGCTTCCTGCCCAGCAAGCTTTTGTTAAAAGAGGTGTGGTTTCTGCCAGGCATAAAATCACTATTTGCCAGCTGCCCAAGAGTCTGCATAGGAGTTTGCATTAGCATCAAGTCCCTGAAAAATTCATATGTGTTGTAGGTGCAGAAATTAAAGTAAATATAACAAAGGAGCGTCTAAGGAAAATCATACTGATGTTATATAAAAAGTTAACAGAATTTTAATTAAATTTAATTAACAGAAATTAAGAGTTCAAGCTCTTAAAATAATTCTTTTGTTGATAGGACATCAGTTACTAAAAAATCTTATGCTCAGTATAAACCAACTTGTAATGGAGATACCTAGATTGTTTTAAATACACCATATGTAGCAGACGTTGTCATTGTTCTGTTGCGTCCAACTTTCTGTGACCCTATTTTGGGGCTTTCTTGACAAATATACTGGAGTGGTTTGCCATTTCCTTGTCCAGCTCATTTTTACACATGAGGAACTGAGGCAAATGGGGTTAAGTGACTTGCCCAAGGTCAAAC